TATCAGACATAAAATTCAAAGTAGCGGTTATAAGGATGTTCAAGGAAATTAATGAGAACTACACCAGCATGAAAAGGACATAGAAGTTATTAATAAGAACCAGTTTGGAATGAAGAATGCAATATCTGAAATGAAGAATATACCAGAAGGAATTAAAATCAGACTAGGTGAAGCAGAGGATCAAATCAGCAATTTGGAAGACAAGGTGAAAAACAACACCCAGTCAAAGCAATAAAATGAGAAAAGACTTAAAAAGAATGAGGATAGTCTAAGAGAGCTTTGGGACAACATGAAACAACAATATCTGCAGCATAGGAATACAAAGGACAGGAGAGGAAACAAAGGATAGAAAGCCTGTCTGAAGAAATAATGACAGAAAACTTCCCTAAGTTAGTGAAGGAGATAGTCACACAGGTTCTGGAAGTACAGAGAATCCCGATTAAGATGAACCCAAAGAGACCTACACCAAGACACATCACAACTAAAATGGCAAAGTTTAAAGACAAAGAGAGGATCTTAAAGGCAGCAACAGAGAAATAATTAGTTACTTACAAGGGAGCTCTGATAAGACACAGCTGATTTCTTAACAAAAACACTACAGACCAGAAGGGATTGGCATGAAGTATTTCAAGCAATGAAAATCAAGGACCTGCAACCAAGATTACCATATCTAACAAAGGCTCTCATTTAAAATGGAAGGTAAAATAAAGAGCTTCCCAGAAAAAAAAAAAAGGCTAAAGAAGTACATTACCACCAAACCAGCATTGCAAGAGACTGTGTAAAAAGAAGAAAAGATTGAGAAAAGAACAAAGGGAAAAATGGCAATGAATAAATACCTAACAATAACAACCTCAAATGTAAATGGTTTAAATGCTCCAATCAAAAGATACAGGGTAGTGAATGGATAAGAAAACATGACTCACATATACTGTCTACAAGAGAGCCATATCAGAACAAAAAAAACATTACACAGGCTGAAAGTGAAGCAATGGAAAAAATATTTCATGAAAATGGAGGCAAAGGGAAGCTGGCATAGAAATATTTCTGAAAATAGAAAATAAACTTGAAAACAAAGACCATAACAAAGACAGAAAAGGTCATGATCTAATACTTAAGGGGTCAGAACAATAAGAGGTTATAACCCCAGTACACATATAAGCACCCAAAGTAGGAGCACCAAAATATATAAAGAAAATATTGAAGGACTTTTAAAAATAGATTCACAGCAACGGAGTCATTGTAGGGGATTTTATCACCCCATTGTCAACAATGGACAGATCTTCCAGAGAAAAAATCAACAAGAATATAGTGGCTTTAAGACACACTAAATCAATTCTGTGAGCATTTTGGTTACCAGGGCTTTAAATTCTGCATCAGCTAGTTTGGCTATCTCCTCATCTCTTAGCTCTCTTTCTGAAATTTTGCTCTGTTCTTTCATTTGGGCCATATTTGCTCGATGTACCTGTTAAGTTGTAAGAGGGCAGGGCCTTAGGTATTCACCAGAGCAGGGCAACTCTCCTTGCTATGCTGCTGTGCTGCCTGTGGGGGAGGGGCCAGAGAGGGAACAATGTGGCTCATCTGCTGGGCACTAGCCCACTTTTCAACAAACTTTCATGTGAGACTGGGAGTTTCTCCCATTGCAGCCACTGCCATAGTCCACAGTCAGCTCTGAGTCTCAGTTTCCCATTCAGCCAGCCCTGCCTGCACGGTCTGCAGCCTCACTGTAGTTTCTCTCAGTTGGCCCCACCCTCTCGGTCCACCACCTTGCCCCAGGTCCTTAACGGTCTGATTGTTCTGTTCAACTGTTTCTTTAATTCCTTGGTTGTCAGAGATCCAGGCAGTTTGATTTTCTGGCACTTCTGGTTGTTTATTGATTTTAGATTGGTTCTTATCCTCCTTTTGCTTGTGCTGGGAAGTGAAGGGTTTCTACCTACACCTTCATCTTGGCTGGAAGTCTCCCAGGTTTTTATCAGTTTCCTGATTTTTAATTGCAAACCCTTTCAAAAGTCCCCAAACCAGGAGGGTAGGACTAATTGTTCACTATTGGCATAACACTCAACACAAGATTTTCCAGTTGCTATGGATGTTTAGCAGAGAATGTTGCCTCCGAAACACATGATGTACTGATTGGGCTTGGTTGAAAAATGAAAAAATAAATGAAAGATGTCCAAAATGAAATAAAGCAAAATATTCGGGGAACCAAGAGTGACAGGAAGGAAACCAGGACTCAAAGCAACAATTTGAAATGAAAGGTAGAAATGAACATCCAACTGGGACAGAATGAAGAAACAAGAATCCAAAAAAAAAAAAAATGAAGAGAGGCTGAGGAATCTCTGGGACAACCTGAAATGTTCCAATATCCAAATTATAGGGGTGCCAGAAGGAGAACAAGAGCAAGAAATTGAAAACTTATTTGAACAAATAATTAAGGAAAACTTCCCCAATCTGGCAAGGGAAATAGACTTCCAGGAAGTCCAGGAAGTCCAGAGAGTCACAAAGAAGTTAGACCCAAAGAGGAACACACCAAGGCATATCATCATTAAGTTACCCAAGATTAAAAATAAAGAGAGAATCTTAAAAGCAGCAAGAGGGAAGGAGACAGTAACCTACAAAGGAGTTTCCATAAGACTATCAGCTGATTTCTCAAAAAAAAAAAAAACAAAAAAACTTGCAGGCAAGAAGGAGCTGGAAAGAAGTATTCAAAGTCATGAAAAGGCAAGGACCTACATCCAAGATTACTCTATCCAGCAAAGCTATCATTTAAAATAGAAGGGCAGATAAAGTGCTTCCCAGGTAAGGTCAAATTAAAGGAGTTCATTATCACCAAGCCCTTATTACATGAAATGTTAAAGGGACTTATCTAAGAAAAAAAGGTGATCAAAAGACATACAGTAAAATGGCAACAAACTCACAACTATCAACAACTGAACCTAAAAAAAACCCAGAAACAAACTAAGCAAACAATTAGAACAGAAACAGAATGACAGAAGTAGAGATCTCATGGAGGGTTATCAGCAGAGAGGATGTGGGGAGAATGGGAGAAAAGGTTCAGGGAATAAGAGGCATGAATGGTATGTACAAAATAGACAGGGGGAAGTTAATAGTATTATAGGAAATGGAAAGGCCAGAGAACTTATATGTACAACTCATGGACATGAACTAAGTGGGGTGGGGGAATGCTGGTGGAAGAATGTGTGCAGGATGGAGGGGAATAATGGGGAGAAAAAAATGGGACAACTGTAATAGCATAATCAATAAAATATACTTAAAAATACTAAAACTTGGAACTATTATTTGACCCAGGAATCTGCTGCTGGACATATACTCTAAGAATCCCAAAACACCAATTCAAAAGAATTTGTGCACTGACATGTTTATAGAGCCACTATTTACAATAGCCAAGTGCCAGAAATAACCTAAGTGCCCATCAGTAGATGAGTGCATAAAAAAACTGTGGTATATCTAGACAATGGAATACTATGCAGCAGAAAGAAGGAAGGAAGGAAGGAAGGAGGGAAGGAAGGAAGGAAGGAAGGAAGGAAGGAAGGAAGGAAGGAAGGAAGGGAGGGAGGAGGAGGGAGGGAAGGAAGGAAGGAGGGAGGGAAGGAAGGAGAGAGAGAGAGAGAAAGAAAGAAAGAAAGAAAGAAAGAAAGAAAGAAAGAAAGAAAGAAAGAAAGAAAGAAAGAAAGAAAGAAAGAAAGAAAGAAAGAAAGAAAGAAAGAAAAGAAATCCTCCTTCTTGCAATAGCTCAGATGGAACTGGAGAGTATTGTGCTAAGTGAAATAAACCAGTTGTTGAAAGAAAATTACCATGATCTCACTTATAAGAGGAATCTAATGAACAAAATAAACTAATGAGTAAAATAAAACCAGAGACATAGAATCATAGAACAGACTGGCACCTGTAAGTGGGGAGGGGGTGGTGGGGTTTGACCGAAAGAAAGTGAAGGGGTTAATCAAAAACATATATGAAAGGCCCATGGACATGAACAACGGTGAAGGGACTGATTATGGAAGTGGGGGACAGGCTGGGTGAAGAGGGGCAATGGGATGAAAAAGTGGGACAACTGTAATAGCACAAACAAAACAAAACAAAACATGAATGGGAAAACAAACATTAACTTCAGCAAACTCAGAATATTTAGTTTTAACTTTTCTCCAAAATGAAGCAAATAAACTATTATTTCCAAAATATATCTTTAATTCCTCATCAGAGGAATTTATTCTAAAAAGTTAAATTTAAAATTAGTTTAACTTTCAGTAAAAGAATAGATTCCAAAAATATATTTAAAAATTTATAGCGTTGTCCTATGGAGAAAACCTTATTTAGTGTTATGGTTCATAGATATTTTGAAAGAAACTAAAACCCTGTAGGAGGACATAATTTCAAGTCTACCTCCTGTTATAAAGTTCGAAGCTTTAAATAACACATTTAAGAGACTAATGCATAAGATGACATGCTGCTACTTGAGCATGCTTTAAAAAGCTGTTTAAGAATCGGGACTCAACTGACCTTTTAGTTAAATTGGTCCAACTTGCCCAAAATAGATTTATTCAGTAGATTTGAGAAAGAAAAATAAGTGAGGGGAGAAGTGGGAGAACAGACAAGAAATAGGGAAATATAAGCTGTCTGAATGTTTAAACTGGGAGAATCCTAAATTAAAATCAGATTACTTGTTGCTTTGCACTTTAATGAAGCCCATGCAGCAAATGCATGGACTTCATCTGGTTGGAAAATAGTTTTCCTCTTTTTATTTCTCAAGTTTCCCCAAGCTTGCATAAGTAGCACCATGCTTTATCTTCCCACCTATACATATATACTTCCCAACAATCTTGCCATGTGATCTATCACTCCAAAGGATCAGTTTTGGGGCAAGTGTAGTCATGAATATGTTTCATGTTACATCTCGATTCATCGCAAAATATGATAGTAAGTGGCTTATGTACAAAAACTGAATCTGTACAGGTGTGGAAGCCTTTTTAAAAAAAAATTTTTTTTAGGACTTCTGCCAAGATGGAGGCGTAGGTGGACCCACCTTGCTTCCGTGCACAACCAAATCTAAGAACAACTATTTTTAACAACGATAAACACAACCAGACCACACAGAAAATTGACAATACGGAGTCCGAAAAAAAGGACGAAATGCTCGGCTAAACGGGTAAGCCAGCCGCGAAGCCGGTTGACCAAAAAGATCCCTGAGCTGGTGGCACACAAGCAGCCGAAGGCACAGATCGTGGGCTAGCTACTGGCGCACACAGGGAAGAGGCGCAGCTGGCTGTCTGCAGTAGGTCGCGCATTTGCATGCAGATAAAGCAGTGAAGAGGCAAGCATTGAGACCGCACGAGGAGGGGCAGCAGGCTCACACAATTCTGCTTGGACAAACAGGCTGGGATGAGTGTGGGACTGACGGACTGGACTAGTGGAGAGGACCGCCATTGCTCCCTCTCTGACCCCGCCCGCACATAAAGTGTCACAAACCAGCGACCTTGGTGGCCCCACCCTGGTAAACAACTAAGGCTTCGCCCCTCTTACTTACTTACCGGACAAACAGACCAAAAATGGCTCAAGAACAACTCAGAGCCCCAGAGCCAATAAATCTAAGCAACCAAGAAATAGCCAAACTTTCAGATGCACAGTTCAAAACACTGGTTATCAGGATCCTCACAGAACTGGTTGATTTTAGTCACAAATTAGAGAAACATATGAAAGCTAAATTAATTGAAATGACTGGTAATGCAAAGGATACCAATAGTAAAGGAAAGGAGTCTGGGACTCAAATCAATGGAGTGGACCAGAAGAAAGCAAATATTGGCCAAACAGAAAAGAATGAAGAAACAAGAATTCAAAAAAATGAGGAGAGGCTTAGGAACCTCCAGGACATCTTTAAACGTTCCAATATTCGAATTATAGGGGTACCAGAAGGGGAAGACTCACAAGTGGAAACCTTATTCGAACAAATAATAATAGAGAACTTCCCCATTCTGGCAGAGGAAATAGACTTCCAGAAAAATCCAGGAAGCTCAGAGAGTCCCAAAGAAGTTGGACCCAAGAAGGAACACACCGAGGCACATCATCATTACATTAGCCAAGATTCAAGTGAAGGAGAGAATCCTAGAAGCAGCAAGAGATAAGGGGACAGTCACCTACAAAGGAGTTCCCATCAGACTGTCAGCTGATTTCTCAAAAGAGACCTTACAGGCAAGAAGGGGCTGGAAAGAAGTATTCCAAGTCATGAAAACCAAAGACCTACAACCAAGATTGCTGTATCCAGCAAAGTTTTCATTTAGAATGGAAGGACAGATAAAGTGCTTCTCAGATAAGATTAAATTCAAGGAGTTCATCATCACCAAGCCCTTATTATATGAAATGTTAAAGGGACTTACCTAAGAAAAAGAAGATAAAAAAGTTGAACAGTGAAAGGACAGCAAACTGACCGTTATCAACAACCACACCTAAAACAAAAGCAAATTAAGAGGACAGCTGGATAAGGAGTGAATCATAGAAATGAAGATCACGTGGAGGATTAGCAACAGGGGAGTGGGAGAAGGAGAAGGGGGGAGAAGGTACAGAAAATATGTAGCATAGACAGTAGATAGAAAATAGATAGGGGGAGGGTAAGAATAGTAGGGGAAATACAGAATCTAAAGAATTCGAGACACGTGTTCATGAACTAAAGGGGGAAATGGTGGGGGAGGGGCATGCAGGGTGGAGGGGGGAATAGAACAAATGTAATGGCATAATCAATAAAAAAATAAAATAAATTTTCTTTTAGTAGTCTTTATATTACCAGTCAACATATATTCTGGGCTCCCATTCTGGGGCAACCACTAATGAGTGATGACTATTGTGATAGGGCCAAGAAGCATAGTACACTGCTAAGTCCCACAGCCATCCATTCACCACAAGAGCTAAAGAGAGGTTGGAATTGGGATGGAAGCTCTAAGCAGTGTTGTGACTCAGAACCCACCTTCTCCCTGCAGTTATTACCTACCCTCAGCTTTCACATCTGGAAATGCAAATGCCCTAACACCTCATGTCAAATCATTTTATTCATGTCTAGAAAGTGAGTTGTGAATAATAAATATTTATACAAGGCCTTCCAAGGTTTCCTTTTAATGTTAAGAAGGAAAAAATAATGGGTTTTCAAGTAAGATCCAAAGATTGATTGTATTATTAAAACAGAGATGTGGAGAGGGACGCACCTAAAGCCTTGTTCTGCTCTTTCCTACTCATCAGTTGATGACTCCAGAAGCCTTGTCTTTCTTCCCCAATGATGATGCCAAGGCAGTTAGTTGTGTACATTATTTAATGAGAATTAATTAGTATTTTTAAGATGAAAAATATTGAGGAAATACATGTGATTGAGCCAATTTCTCTCTGTGCCATTTATATCTTTGTTTTATCCAAGCACCATGGGAAAACATATTTCTCTTAAATGCAATTCTCTGTTTAATAACTTCATTGCATGATGTACCTCAGAAGGAGAAAATGTTATAACTTTTCAAATGAAAGTAAAAATTCTTTTTGACCTTCCATCAGGATTTCTCTTCTCCAAGTAATGTCCTTGTGGCTCACCCCTCACACTCCTTTGTGCCAGTCTTCTCCAAGGACCTGTAATTCTTGGCAAACTTAGTTTAATTTGCATAGCTTCTTCCCAGGCAACTATATACAGATGCTACTCAAATTACAATGGAGTTATGTGCCAATAAACCTACCACAAGTTGAAAATATCTTAAGTCAAAAATGCCTTTAATGCACCTACCCTACTGAACATGACAATTTACCCTGGCCAGTTTTTGCTAAATGTATATTGCTTTCACATAATCATAAAGTCAAAGAATCATTAATTAAGGCAAACCATTGTTAAGTTGGGGACCACCTGTATTTTCTATGTATATTTTGTATACAAAAATAGATTCAGCTTTATATAAAACTAAGTTTTTAGGTGACACAGTTTTTTACTTTTGTGAAAGCAGGATTTCCAAAGTGATTTCTAGTGATTGAGACCATGCATGTTAGAAGACTCTATTTTCTTTACCAATGAAAAAACTTTTCTCAGTAATTATATCCAAAGTAACATATGTGCAATGTTTTAGGCCCTCAGATTGTTTTCAGGAGATGCCACTGAGTTGTATAGCCTTGTCCAGGAGGGGCTAATGGAGCTTTCATTCACCTTGGTTATACATACCCACATTGTATCAGGAGATGTGGGCATTTTATATTTGAATGTACTGACATTCCTACAGCTGATGTGTCAGCCCTTCTATGGCATCAATGAGGATCTCAACAAGCTTTAGGGTCAAAACCAACAAACAAGTATGACAAAAGCAGTCCTCTAGTGTGTCCAGTACTATTTTTGGAAAGTTCTAGAATCATTTTAGACAACATAAGAAAGCTGTCTTGCCAGAGACCAGCCCACCATGAAGAAAGTGACTGGGGCTGGTGTGAGGGAAGGGTCTTCTTTCCTTTCAGTTTGTGCCATGAACCCAGTGCAGACTTCCACATGTTCCTACAGATCCCTGCTTTAGTTTGTAGAGGGCATGCCTTCAGTCCATACAGAAAGCCCTGTTGTTGTACTAATGGTCATGCCAGCTGGATTGTATGCAGAGACTCCCACCTCTTTCACCCCTGAGATACTTTCTCTCCTATATCTCTGAGTGCTGGACCCAGGTGCATGTCTACTCCCCTCTGTCAGGTCTTGGGTACCAACAATGTAGGAACTATAGGTTCAAAGATGTTGAGGTAAAAGGTCTTGAGTCTATATTCTTATTTAAGTTTCCCTTTTTTTCTGGCCCCATATCACTTGCATGGGCCTTCCAGGAATTCTGGAGACAAAAGAGCTTGTAATAGAATCCTTAGCAGGTGTTTACCTGAGAATCACCTAGGAAGAATTTTCAAATTCAGGCTCCATAGAGAGCAACTGCCTTGGCAGTTGCAAGGTGGAACTCCCAAGGTGATTCTGATGTGCGACCTGGTCAAGCATCTAATACCATGTGGCACTCTCTCTGGAGCTAAAGGTACTTATGTTTTGATCATCTCTCTCACCAAATGATGAGCTCCTTGAAGGCAAGAACCATTTCCTATTCTTCTTTGAATTTCATCTTATGGTATTTGCAGAAAAAGTAGCAAGTTCTGAGAAAGCCAAGTCTGGTAAATGTTAAATGACTTAGCCAAGGTTACACATAATGAACTTGTTGCACAGTTGACACTAAGGCTCTGATCATCTCACTCAAGTTGACTGTTCTGTTATTCCAATACTGATATCTAAAGTTTACCCTCTAATCTTATGGTATATATACAACCTCTCTCTAATGGGACCTAACCCCTGATAGTAGCCTATATTACATTCTAAAAATCACACTGCCCATCTGGCAGCTTCTTGCTCCCCTCTAGTTTTTTCTGACTCCTTACTACCCACGACATGGTGCAGATTCTTGTATCCCCCAAAATATACTGCTGGTGCCCTCCTAGAGGCCAGATAAACCAGAATTCATCTCATAAAGCATTATAAATTAATAACCAACTTTTCAATCAGTTCTTCAGATTGCTGTTAAATTTTGCATAACTCTGTTTCTTGGTATGTAACATAACATAATGTTACTAAAAATCTAGTGGGCTCTTTTGATTTACATGAATTAGTGAGGAAAGAAGCTTTATGTTGACTGAATACTGAAGCAAATATTGAACATATGTGAAAGTGACAGGCTAACAAATATATTTTAACAAAAAAAATTCCCCTAAGAATTAATGGGTTTGGTGATTAATCTTTATTTGAGGATTCAAAACCTCTATCATCATATTTATTAAATTATGTTTTCAACTCATCTTTCGTGTTGTGACCCTAGATAAATGTCCAATTACAGGCAACGTAGTGATTGTAGTCAGATAATCAGAGGATAAATTCTTCCTGTGTCCTTACTTTTCTCCTTTGGACCATGGTATCTCATACTTATCTCTAGTGTAGCACTCATAACATAGTACTACAAGTATTTGTCTTCATGACTGTCCTCTACTAGATTCCAGGCAACATAAGGGCAGTAAGCCCTATAAGATAGATGCTATTTTTCCCCTACATACATGATATAAAACAGGCTTAGTAAAGTTGAGTAGCTTGCCCCAGGTCACATTGTAAATAATGGAAATAAGATCCAAACTCAACTCTGACACTAGAAACTATCTTCTCAACCACTGTGCCATGCTGCTCTTCCTCCTCTGCTGCCACCCAGTTTTCAAGACTATCTTCAAGGAAAATCTTAGGATAAACTCATGAGTATTTGCTATATGAAAAA